CCAAATGTGGCTTCAAGCTGCCTCGGCAGGCGCAGCTCCCTTCACGCCCCCAAGGTGCCCTGGGCGCTGCTAGTCTCAGCTCTCCGCACGTTTCCCTCCTCTGAGGCCTTCCCCGTGCCGTTTGTATGACCAGGGGACCCACTTCCATTTGCTGTGTCACTGTTTCCTGAATATCGAGCAGGTGCACCAGCTATGTGTAAGTAGCCAGTAGCCAGAATATAGGGGAAAACATTTTAAGTTGCTAGTGATGAGTTAGCTTTGATGAGGATTAGGATAAATACAGCTTGCAAAATTTTGACTTAATGCAAATTGTTACTTAGGATGATAAGAAATAACTAATAACGGTAAACCAATAAGGATAAACATAATAAGATGAATACAATTTGGCTGATTTAAAGAAAACTGTTCATACACAATAATGGATAGTGATGGACAATAGTACAGGTGGCACACAAACATGATGTTATCACAGGAAACATACGGCGTGCCCCAAATGGGTAAATTGAGGTGGGTTTTATTTTAAAGGTGCTATTTACAATGGTTTAAGGAACTTACAAAGGGTAAGTGCTGCAGCAGCAAGAGAGGGCTCCAGAACAGGTCAGGGCAAGGAACCGTTTTCTGGAATCAGGAGAGAAGGCTGTCTGTGTGTCTCCCCCGGAGTGATGTGACCAAAGTGGTGACTTGCCAGGTACCCTCACCTCCTTCCACTTCTGTTGTCTGGGCGCAACCCAAGCCGGGGGACAAGGGAGCCCAGGGAGCCCAGGGAGCCCAGGGAGCCCCTGGGGTTTAGGGCAGAGGGTGGGGAAGGGAGGCAGGTGGATTTGGGGGGAAATGGAGAATGTCAGTGTGTGTGTGGTGGGGGTAGGGGTGTGAGAGATGAGCTTGAATGGCCCTCTGTCTCCCTTCTGGAAGGTGATCTTCCAGCGGACAGACACAAGAGTGTATTTCCTTCGCTTTCCCAGTGCCCGGGACAGCCTTGAACACAGTGGGAGCCACCAGGAAATGGTTCCAAAACAGTAATTGACCTTGACCTTCCCACTCACTATGAGGGTGCCATCCTTTTCTCCTTCAGCCAGGCAGCCTGTCTCTGTCAGGAAGAGTGTGTCTGATGAAAGATGGCCAAACTCCTGCCCTTTCTGGGCCTCAGTAGCCACATCTGTAGAATGACGTAATGGGACTAGAGCAGTACTTTCCAAACTTTTAAGAAAAAGGGGACACAACATTTTTGTTTAAACCCAGGTTATGAGGAAACACCATATAGGAAACAGGTAAGGGGCGCCCGAGTGGCTCAGACGGTTGAGCGTCCCACTTTGGCTCAGGTCATGATCTCGTGGTTCATGGGTTTGAGCCCCGCGTCGGGCTCTGTGCTGACAGCTCAGAGCCTGGAGCCTGTTTCAGATTCTGTGTCTCCCTCTCGCTCTGCCCCTCCCTGGCTTGCACTCTGTCTCTGTCTCTCTCCTCTTTCTCTCTCTCTCTGTCTCTCAAAATAAACATTTAGAAGGAAAGAAAAAGAAAACAGGTAAAATGGAGCAGCTGTGGATGAAGGGGGTGGGAGTTGGGAGGGGTGGCTGGAGGGGTTGCCTGGACCCTTCAGCTTTTCACCTTCTCGAGGCACCTCTGCTCAAACTAGGGTTCAGGTAAGAAAAATATGTAAGTAAAAAACAATTAGGTTACTGACATCTGACTTCATCCCTTCCGAGAGCACTGGGGTCGGAGGTCGTAACTGACTGAATCCCACTTTCTTCTTTTGCTTGGTCTCCCCTACCTACCCCCCCCTCCACAAACACATTTACACATTATTAGTTGCTAACATTTAAAAATCAGGATATTCCACATGAAAATCGGGATTTGTGGTTTCTCTTGGAAAATCTGATCTCACCACTCGGGCCCGCAGTCCCGCGCGAAGCTGAGGGCCTTTGGCTCACACCCACCAACACCAGCTGGGTGCCATTTGCCCCTGCGCCCAGCTTTGTGGGCATGTGGGTTTTCAGCCTCCTGTGTAGGCGCTTCGCCACTGCCCCTAGGTGGCCATCTGCGGTATTGCACGGAAGGTCTTTGAACGCAGAGGTCTGAAGTATGGAAGGATGATCCCTTTGGGACCTGAGAGTGGGCAGGACACTGATTTTTTTTCCCCCTAGGATACAGCACCTTCCCAGCCCCAGTAGGATGACAGGGACAGACCATAGCAGACGGATGTGAGGATGCTAGTCGGAAACTGAGCCGATGAGGAAATGGTTACTGAACAAAATTGACCTCCATCTTTCCCCTTCACCGTGATGGTACCCCCTCTCCAAGAGCCTGTCTCTGGCCTGAGCAGGAGTATGTCTGATGGAGGATGGGCAAGTCCCTGATCCGCCTGGGCCTCAGTTTCCCCATTTGTAGGAGGATGTGTGAACCGCAAGAGTAGCTTTGAGATTTTCTTTGGAGTTATTGACCTGTGCCTTTTGGGGCTTAGCAGAGCTGCAATGTCCTGTTGAATAAGTCCCCAAAATACTTTGTTTCTAATGAAATGCTTAATATTAAAAAAAAAATCTTATAAGAGAGGGATATGCTCGCTCATTATAGAAACTTTGGAAACTACCTAAGGATTGAATTTTTTTAAACCATCCATTACCCCATTCCCTAGAGACAATCATTGTTGCTATTTTCATCTATTTGCTTCTGACTCCTTTTCTGGGGGGTGGCAGATGATGCTTTCAAACTTCACATCGTGATTATTATATATAGAGTCATGTATTCTGATTGAAAAAAAAGTTCTTTTGGTTATTTGTTCGTTCAGCAAGTATTTATTGAGCACCTACTATGTGCCAGGCACTAATCTAGACTCTGGTTATGGGACAGTGAATAAAACAACAAAAAATCTCTGCCCTCATGGAGTTTCCATTCTGGCAAAGAGAAACAGACCATGAACAACAAGCCTACTAAATACATAAATTCTAGAGTAGGGGCACCTGGGCAGATCAGTCAGTTAAGAGTCCAACTCTCGATTTTGGCCCAGGTCATGATTTCGTGATTTGTGGGTTCAAGCCCCATGTCAGGCTCTGGGCCACTGGCCTGCCATGCAGAGCCTGCTTGGGCTTCTCCTCCTGTCCCCCTCTCTCTGCCCCTTCCCCATTCACACTCTCTCTGTCTCTCTCAAATAAACAAACTGTTTAAAAAATAGGATATATTAGTAAATGAGAAGTGGTGTGGGTCAAGGACCAGAGGTACAGAGGGGTTGTGGAGTCAAGTGAGGGCACGGGAAGTTCAGAAGTGAAGGTTTGAGCAGACTTGCAAGAATAAGCTATGCAAGGGGGGATGGGGGATGAATAATTCAGGCAGAGGTCCTGAGGCAGGAAAGATGCCCATTCATAATACAGGGATCATTCTAGACAGTGCACACTGTTTTTGAACCCCCCCCCCAAATTCATCATAGAACCCTCCCAACATCTTCTGTGTTCTTTTTAATGGCTTCTGGAGCCCCTGGAATCTCTGTAGTAGAACCGTAAGAAACTTCTTAAAAATGTGGATCCCTTAGTTCTATCCTATACCTACAAACCTAGATTCTCTGAGAATGGGCCAGGAATCTGCTTTTTAAACCATATTTTTAGAAAAAAGATATTAAAAACATATTTTTATTTGAGACCCATTCCGCCCATGATATGAATACTATCATTGATTTAACTGCTCCAGTATCAGTAGACATTTGTCTCTAGCTGGGGGCTATTCTTTTCTTTTGTTTTATTTTATCATATATATATATGCCACTTGTTTTAAAAAATTTTTTTAACATTTATGTATTTTGGAGAGACAGAGAGAGACAGAGCACAAGCAGAGTAGGGGCAGAGCGAGAGGGAGACACAGAATCTGAAGAAGGCTCCAGGCTCTGAGCTGTCAGCACAGAGCCCGACAGGGGGCTCGAACCCACAAACTGCAACATCATGCCCTGAGCTGAGCCACCCAGGCACCCCTCTTTTATTTCTTTTAATGTTTACTTATTTTTGAGATAAAGAGACAGAAAATAAGTGAGGGAGGGGCAGAGAGAGAGGGAGACAGAATCTGAAGCAGGCTCCAGGCTCCGAGCTGTCAGCACAGAGCCCGATGCAGGGCTCAAACCCACGAACCGTGAGATCATGACCTGAGCTGAAGTCGGTCGCTTAACCGACTGAGCCACCCAGGTGCCCCTAACTGGGGACTGTTCTTGACTAATAACATGACAGACAACCCCGAACAGCCATTTTGTCCACATGTCCTACTATTTCAGTGGGACAGATTCCTAGAGATGATATTATTCAAAGGGTAGCCTTTTTTTTTTAGACATCAATATAGCCCCAGGGTTTTTGAATCTGGTCCCTGGATCAACAGTCACAGCAGCTCCTGAGAACTTCAGAGAAATGCACATTCTTGGGCCCAACCCAGACCTAGCAAACCAGAGCCCTGGGAGAGGGGCCCAGCAATCCGTGTTTTCCAGAACCTTCAGATGATTCTGATTCATGCTAGAATTGGATAACCCCTGCTCTGGAGCTGCCTTTACGTTACATCCGTGATAATAGCCTCCAGCCGCCCAATGCTATTTACATTTAAGTGAAGTAAAATTAAAGTTTACTTCCTCAGTGGCACCAGCCACACTTCAAGTGCCCAATACCTACAGGTGACTAGTGGCTGCAGGACTGGGTGGTGCAGAGAGAACACTGCCACCATCATGGTTCTGTTGACTGCTCTTCTAGACAGTTCTCCAGAAAGGATGAACCACCCACCCTCCCACGCCCTCATCCTCTTTTTAACTAAGAAACATCAGGAAGAACCTTCACGGGCATAAGAGGGGCTCAGGGCCTTGGGCTCCTTGAAACAGATGGTTTCGATCCTCAGCATCCCTTCCCGGCACAAGCGTGGGCTCAGGTGCGGCGGGGAGGGGAGCACGCACCTGCCCTTATTATGGTCTGGTTCTCTCGTGAGCAGGATGAGATCATCGCCCTGAGATCCCAGCAGAGATCATCCCATGATGACAGCCGCTCCCTCCTGATACAGATGGAGGTAAGACCCCGGGGTGGGGGGGGGTGGGAGTCTCTTGCTGTCTGTCCGTCTGTTGTGCGGCCTGTCAGGCAGTCCTCAAGAGGAGTATGCTATCTGCCCCTTGAGATTCGACTAGCCTAGTTCACGTCTTGACTTGTCCTGACCCTTTGTCACGGGCAGCCTCTGCTACAGATATTCCTGTAGAAGTTTGTCCCTAGAGCCTCTTTGTCCACTTTTAAGAGTCCTAGACTTCAGGGAGCCTAGCCCAGGCACTTGCGCCTATAATTTCATCCCAGACCAGCAAATTCCAGACAGAGCTCTGCCTCGGTAATTTTCTTCTCTCTCCGCCTTGTCCTGGCTGTGGCCTGTTTTCAATCCATAACAGTTATTACGAACATTTGCTAAGCAATTGCTTTGTACCAGGCACTGGGCTATCTCATTTAATCCTTACCACAGCCCTGTGTCATAGGTGTTATGATCTCTACATTTTACAGATGAAGAAACTGAGATTCAGAGAGGTAAAGTCATTTGACATCTTGGAGCTGGGAAGCTGTGTTTGAGTTTTGCATTGTATTTAGTTGCCAATCACAAGGAACCAAAGCAGCAATGGCCTAAGTAAGGTAGAAGTATTTATTCTGTTAAACACATTTGGAAATGGGTACTTTAGGTCATGATGTCATCAGTAACCCAGCCTCCTCCTGTTTGCCATCTTTAGTGTGTGGTTTATAGTCCCAGGGATGCCTCGTGGTTGTACAGCAGCTGCCAATGATCCAGACATTGCATATATGTTCCAGTCAGGAAGAAAGTGGGGGAGGCAAAAAAAAAAATCTTTCCTGTTACCGTAAAAGTTATTTTTGTGAAAACTCAGCCAGTGACTTCTGCGTTTACAGCTTGCTGGGCATTCCTATTGCAAAGGAAGGTTGGAAATACACTTTTCAGCTGGGCACGCTGCCGCCCAAATACAATCAGGAGTTTGTTATTAAGGTGTAAAGGGAGAATGGATAGCAAACACCTGACAAAGATATGAACCCAGAGAGTTTGCACAGCCCTGTTCTAATCCAATAGTCCCTGACCCAGGAACTGAGGTCCTGGATCATTTTCCTTTCCTTCTCTGTGGCGAATTTTCTTTGTAGGCCTGCACCTGGTTAGACAGGGATGGCGGTGCTATTCTCCGATGGGCCACTGGGGGCAGCGCGGCGTATTTTCTTTGCAGGCCTGCACCTGGTTAGACAGGGATGGCGGTGCCATTCTCTGATGCGCCACTGGGGGGCAGCAAAGCATACGGCACCGTTCTGCGGTTCTGGCTCCGAGGGACCTCACAGGAGCCTAGATATGGGGAATGACACTTCCAGAGAGGGTCCAAGTCCAAGGAGCCCCTCCGCAGGCTGAGCCCATGATTGGGGTCCCATGTCCTTGGCTCAGGGCCACCCGGTGTCGTCCACATACTTCCTTGGGGTTGGGACTGGTGAGGCTCTGCAGCTCTGGGTTTCCAAGACCTAAAGAGGGGGACCTTGGTGAGGCCCACCTGGCAACCCCCCGGCATCTCCCCCGTCCCCCCCGGGAGGTCCTTTGATCCCCTCTTTGTTCCCTTGGCTGTGGCATGACTTCCAGAGGCCTTTTTTTTCAAATGCAAATATTCCAAACACCAGAGTTTGTCTTAATAGCAATGGGATCACAGGAGGCTTTCCCCCTTACCCCTTGCTAAAGGTCATTTCCCTCTGCTCTATTCCTGGAGCCTTTCCACGTATCTTCCCTTTCCTCATCTCCTGCCCCTCTGAGAGAAGCGGGAGCACCTGTCCCTTAACGGGAGGGTTTTGCATAGGAGTTAAGCAACCAGCTCTGGGAACAAATGCTTGGGTAGGGCTCTCACAAAAGTCACTTCCTAGCTGTGTGACTTTGAGAAACTGACTTAACCTCTCTGAGCCTCTGTTTTCCACCTTTAATAGGGAGATAATAATGATCACCTCAATGGCATGTGAAGTTTGAGTAAAGTCAAGCATCTACACACTAGGCATAGGGCAGAGCAGAGACTTATTCGTGTAGCTATCGTTGTTCATCATGTAAATCAGTAAAACCTCAAAATCTCCTCACCCTGGTACTAAATAACTGCTCAAGAAATGAACTCAAGGCCGGGTACATAGACTGCTCTGTACACGGAAGCTAAACACAAGTTCACCTTTCTTCTCTGACCTCCATGTTCCCCATCTGAAATCTGAAGCAGTTGTTGAGGCTGTGTTGAGATGTTGTCAGGTGCTGGACACGTGTTATCACAGCCACATCAGGCTTTTAGTTTGCTTGACCATGTGACCTTTAATGCACCTTCAGAATGAGTGGGCAGCCCTTGCTGTCACAGGAGGAAACTCAGTCCTGGGAACCGGGACAGAGGAGGCTGCCCGGTGTGCAGGCTGAGTGACAGTTCAGATCATGGCTTCCCTTTTTTGGCTGTGTGCTTCAGAGCCTCAGTTTCTTCACCTGGAAACTGGGTGTGTGTGTGGATAGGACGGACCCCTTGGGATTGTTATTTGGGGTGATGCATGAGCCACAGGGAAGGCGGCAGTCCTCACAGGGCCCAGTTCACCTTAGCAAGCTGAGAACTCGGAGGGAGAGTCAGGAAGCGACTGGAAGCTCTCACCCCTGAGCAGGGACTCTCAGCCCCGGGGGGTGCAAATCGGATTCACCTCGGATGCCCAGGCTGTGCCCAGACCAGACCCTCTGAACCTCTGTGGCTGGGGTTAGGGCAGAAACGTTCTGAAACTCCCAAGTGATACCAATGTGAAGCCAAGATTGGGATCCAATGGACTGGCAGGGGCTCTCGGACTTCACCCTGTGTCCGAACCACCTGGAGGTTCATTAACACACGCTTTGCCAGGCCCGCTCCCAGAGCCTCTGATTCAGGGTCTGGACTGGAGCCCAAGAATCTGCATTTCTAGCAAGTTCCCTGGTGAGGCTGATGCTCCTGGTCCCCCAGGGACCCCACTTTGAGAACCACTGGGTTAGAGCAATGTGTTTTAATCAGTGAGTGGTAAAATCAGTTTGTTAGATTGAATCAGCCTTTAAAAATAATCAAACAGAGGGGCTCCTGGGTGGCTCAGTTGGTTAACCAACTTCAGCTCAGGTTATGATCTCACAGTTTGTGAGTTCGAGCCCTGCGTCAGGCTCTGTGCTGACAGCTCAGAGCCTGGTGCCTGCTTCAGGTTCTGTGTCTCCCTCTCTCTCTGACCCTCCCCTACTCATGCTCTGTCTGTCTCTCTCTCTCTTAAAAATGAATAAATATTTTAAAAAGTTAACAAAATAAAATAAAAATAATGCAACAGAACAGAATAGAAAATATGAGAACACACAATAAGAATATTGATCTGTGAATGGTTTATTTCAATTGATTAGATAATCTATATAAACACACACCCATACACATATGTACACTTGTGTGTACTATGAAGTAGGCTGCGTTATAAAACGTCTTCCTATAAGCCACAATTTAAAAAAATGAATCACCAGCTTTTAAAAAGTACTATAATCCAGTACACACATAGACACGCATACATATACGTAAGTGAAACAAAACTTACATTTAGCAATATTTACTCTCACTGCCTGCAGTGCATATTAGTATTTTCTCTTCCTTTTCTGTTCTATTTACTTTCTTGAAAATGTTGATTAAGGCCTAGTACATTGATTTTTTTAAAAAATATTTTTATTTATTTCTAGGAGAGAGACAGAGAGATAGCATGAGCAGGGGAGGGTCAGAGAGAGGGAGACACAGACTCTGAAACAGGCTCCAGGTTCTGAGCTGGCAGTCAGCACAGACCCCGACGTGGGGCTCGAACCCACGAACCGCGAGATCATGACCTAAGCGAAAGTCGGACGCTTAACCGACTAAGCCACCCAGGCGCCCCCCTAGTACATTGATTTTTGTACCCCCTCGGAGGTTTGAAAATCTGTAGCTCAGAGACTCTGGTTCCAGAGGGTCCCAAACCCCCATCCCCACTGAGAGTCCTCAGGGGTGGGCTGTGTCCAGCCTGGCTGACCTGGGGTGGGAATTGGGGTCTGTCCCCAGGAGAAACTAAAGAAGATCACGGAGGAGGCAGACATGTATGAGAACAGCTACAAGGAAATCAGCACGACTTTGGAGCATCTCAAGGCCTCGGTGGAGAGTCTGTTTAAAAAGATAAATTGTGATGCCACCATGATCCTGGGGCAGTTAGGGGAAACAGGGACAATCACTGACACCAACCTCCCACAGTACTTTGGTGAGTCAAGGGCGGGGGGCTCGCATTTGAACGATTTCTGGAGTTTTCTATGAGCGGTCACGAGGGTTTGTTCTTTGGGGGGCACGGAGCCTGGTGGTGAAGTATGTGGGCGGTAATGCCAGCCTGCCTGGGTTCAGACCCCAGTTCTGCTCTTACTAGCTGTGTGCGTTTGGGCAACGTTTGGAATCTATGCTTTAGTCTATGCATAAAGTCTATGCTTTAGTTTTTTCATCTAAAAAAATAAATGAGAAGTAAATCGATACCTACCTCATAAGGTTGTTGGGAAGATTAAATAAATTAATAGTTCTTCGAGTAAAACTATGATCACATTAATAGATGCAGAAAAAGCACTTGACAAATTCTACATCCATTCACGGTAAAAACTCTCAGCAAACTAGAACGGGAAGGAAACTTTCTTAACCTTGAAGGGCATCTACAAAATACTTACCGGCTAACCTCACGCTTAAGGGTAAAGAACTGAATGTTTTTCCTCTAAGATCAGGAACAAGGCAAGAATGTCTGTTCCCATTGCTCCTATTCAGTATCATAAAAGTGGTCCCAAACCACGCAGTAAGGCAAGAAAAAGAACTGAAAAGCACACAGATTGGAAAGGAAGAAATAAAGCGCTCAGAGCAGTGTTTGGCATGTCACCAATGCCTATCAACTAGAACACACATTTCTAGCCATAGGCCCTTAGCTCAGGATAGAGAAGGAAGGATGTACCTCCAGAGATCCTCACAATTTGGAGGGAACGGCTTGCTTTTAGAATAAAACCTAAGGTTCTTAATACAATCTGTGTTTGGGAATTTCCCAATATCTCCCTCCTGCCGGGTTCAGTGATTTGCCAGGAGGGGTCACAGGCTCTGCATGTAGTGGCTTTATTTGTTATAGCAAAAGGATCAAAGCAAAATCAGCGAGAGGAAAAGGCGCATGGAGTGAAGTCTGGAGGAAGCCGGGAGCGAGCGTCCCAGAGCGGGTCACACAGGATGCGCTTGGTTCCGCCAGCACTGAGTTGTGACGACATACGTGAAATGCTATGAACCAGGAAAGCTCATTAGAGAGACTGTGCCCAGGGCTTTAAGGGGAAAAAAACAACAACAGTTATTTAGCATAAACATGTTTTATACATACAGGTTAGGCACACTGAGCCTCTAGTATCAGTTAATGATGATAGGAACCTTCTTGAAGTCCAAGTTCCCTGATGCCAGCCTCAGGCCAACCTGGGAAGGCAACCTGGGACTTTCAAGAGACAGCTAAGTGTTAACTGTGTTAACTCTTTCCTGCCCACCTAGGTTCTACCCAGCCTGGCCCCTGCTTATATTTCTCATCTTTCTCGTCCTGCCCTCTCTACTTGCTTACATCTCAAGTCACACCATTCTATGTATTGAACACCTCCTCCATTCTCCCCCACCTCAGGGCCTTTGCACAGGCTGAGTTCCTTCTCATTCTCAGATCTCAGTTTAAATGTCCTCTCTCTAGCAAGGCTTCCCTCCACTGCCTACCTGAAGCAGGTGTCCCCTCTACACACACTGTCATTCCCTCTCCTGACAGTCCTTTTATGTAACATTCATCCACTCTCTTTCCATGTACAAGTAGCTCTCACTCCCTGAATCTGTGCGGTTTTCGAGATCTGATAGCAAGTGGCAGATGCAAATATTTTTGATCTCTGATTTTCAGAAAGAATGGCAACAGTATGGCTAGTATGAGGTTTATTTAAAACATTCTCGGGGCGCCTGGGGGGCTCAGTTGGTTAAGCGTCCGACTTCGGCTCAGGTCATGATCTCACGGTTCGTGGGTTCGAGCCCCGCGTCGGGTTCTGTGCTGACAGGTCAGAGCCTGGAGCCTGTTTCAGATTCTGTATCTCCCTCTCTCTCTGACCCTCCCCTGCTCACACTGTCTCTCTCAATCTCTCTCTCTCTCAGAAATAAATAAAAACATTAAAAAAATTCTCCAGATCCAGGAGTTACCAAATCTAGATAATGAGCACCTGGAAAGCAAGGGATGTGTACGTTTTTCTGCGTACTTATTGAATTTGTCCTTCTGTCTGTCTTCCTCCCACACACTGAAGCTTATGAGCTTCGTCAGGGCTGAGATCGCATCTTCGCTGTTACTGTTGTTGTGTTTCTCCTCCACACATCGCAGCACCCAGCTGTGTGCCTGGCATGGTAGGCACCCAACAATCACTTGTAGAGTGGGTATGATCCCATGAGGCCAGTGAATGCGCAGGGCTCTGACGCCGCGGGAAGGGGAACCCCCCCCCCCCAGACTCGGCAGGTTGGAGAAACATTCCGACAGGTGGCAGGAGCCTGAGGCAAGTCTCAAAACACCAGTAGGGGTTATTCAGGGAGGGGCGCAGGGAAAAGCATTCTAGGCAGAAGGAACAGCATGAGCGAAGGCTTGGAAGCCTGAGACAGAGGGCACAGGGGAAACATCAGTACTTTGGGAGTCTGCCTGTGACTCCTGATTGTTAGTGTAACCCACAGTTTCCCATCTTTTCATTATTGCCGTCCACGGAGCCTTTTTAGACATCCTTTTCCTAATTGTCCTCCTCATGAAATTGAAACACTGCAGATATAAGCTATAGTTGTTAATGTTCTGTATGTATATGTTTTATGTTATAAAGTCAGATTTGTTTTCACTTCTCAAAAACCAAATTTTGCCCTCTCGGGGCGATAGTGCTCTCTGGAGAATGCATGGTGTGACCAAGAGAAAGCCTCGTACTTAGAGGTGCACATGTCCCTGCTCTCTGTTCCTTCCCTTCCTCTCCAGCCGGGGGGGTTGGGGGGGGGGCAGGGGCACCTCCAATCCCTGTCAGCTGCCATCTTGGTTCTGATTGATTTTTTTCCCCCCAGCCATCATTGAGAAGAAGACCAATGACCTACTGCTGATGGAGTCCTACAAGCGGATCCTGGATATAGAAGGGGCAGAGACCGAGGTCCCGCCGCCCTTCATCAACCCTTTCTGGGGTGGCTCTGCCCTCCTCAAGCCTGCAGAACCCATCAAGGTCATCCCCCCGGTGTTCGGGGCTGACCCCTTCAGCGACAGGCTGGATGAAGGTGAGTTCTCTTTCTCCCCTGATCCGCGCAGGCTGCTAGGAGACCTGTGCCAGAGAGAGTCTGCAGCGTTGAGCCTCAGTTTCCCTTTATGAGCCTCGTAGGCCCGTCCATTCCATTGGGTTCCATCATGGCTGTGGCCCCTTGACTTGTTTTGCCTGGGGGTGCTTCTCTCTACAGTGCGATGACCCAGCCGCAGATCCTGAAGTTTAGCAATCCTGGGTATTTTTTTAAAATCACTGCTTTGTGACCATTTAAAAAGAACTTTAAAGCGCCTAGAGTTTACAAATCGGCAGGTTGCAGACACGGAAGATTCCCTAATTGCATCTCTACCCTTACCTTTCAGCCCCGAGTCTTACTCCACCCATGGCCATTCTGGGGCCACCCAGGCGTGTCCCACAACCTCAGGGTTGAGGCAGCTGCGGCTTGGTTCGTGCCAGGAGCCAGATGCCTAACTCTGGCCCCGCCTGGGTCATTGACCTCCCTTCCTGACACTCCCCTCACACGGCGAAGCAGCGCTTCTCTCTGGGGGAGGGGAGAAAATCAGCCCCTCCTGGGTTTTGGAGGGCAGTTTGGCCACATGTGTGGCAAGCCGGAGACCTGAGTACACCCGTGCAGCCCGTTTCTCTCCTGTGCAGGCTGGTCCTTTAGAAACATGTATTCAAGGTTCAAAGATAAAAGTAGGGCCATGTTCACCGCAGCCCCAAACTGGAAATGACTGAACTGCTCACCCATAGAGACTGGTCACGTGGATTACAGGGCACCCATCGTGCAACGACTCTGTGCAGACACAGACAAGAATGCAGCGGGTCAACATGAACTCCCTCCCTCCACCCGCCCCCAATATAAACTCTCTCACACACACAAACACACAATACAAACTCACACACTCTCAAACGTATAATTTATATATAAATTATATATGTGTGATTATATATGGATTATAGGATATAATATCCTATATCCTATAATATCCAAGGGACTTGGGGCCATGCCTGGAGATATTTTTGTTCTCACACCTGGGAGGTGCTGCTGGCATCTAGTGGCCAGGGAAGCTGCTAGAAATCCTACACCGCACAAGACAGCCCTGGACAACCCTGATGTATAATAGGGAAAGAGATGTGTGTAATGAGAGAGAGGAGGAGGAGGGAGAGAGGTTGAGAAGGAAGGAAGGGGGAAGGGGTCTTGATTATACATATGAAAACAAAGGATTTATAGGCTGTCTTGCAGGCGGTATTTCTAGGTGGTGATTTACAGACAAGTGTGCCCGTTCCAAGTTAAACAATTCTGTATTGTTTAAATTGTTCTTTTCCAATGGTCTTGAGCAACTTGAGTAATCAGAGAAAACTAGATTTTTTTTTTAAAGCCGCCCCATCTCTCTAAGCAGGGCTTCAAGCATGCAGGCATGTCAGAGATGGAGGGGGAGGACTGAGGAAGGATCGCCAGCGCACGCGCATGCACACACACACACACACACACACACACACATCTCTGGTTTGATCGAATCAATGCAACGGAAACTTGGCAGGGGTGAAAGCGTGGCCTGGGGTCTGGTGTTAGTCACCTATGCACAGTTTCCCTTTGCCCTTTGAGTTCCTAAAAGAGGAAGGTGACAGGTCACAGATGCTGGTAACACTATCCTCACCAGGTCAGGAACTTGCAGATGATGTTTTCACTTCTGCTCAAGGGAATGTTGCTGAGCACTGGATTCTCTTAGCTCGCTAGTCTCTGTGGCTCATATGTATGAGTTAGAAGAGGCGCACCCTCTGTACAGATTAATTAAGGTGCCCCTTCTGTGTAGATATGATTTGGCAATCAAGTGGGGTGAGGGCTGGATTTCAGCCCATCCATTCACCTGTCCCCACTAGGTGTCTTTGTTCAGTCTACATCCTGAACTGCCTACAAGGCACATGGTGGCCTTGTCTTGTTGATATTAAACTAAACTCAACTTTGCATATTTCTCTGGGAGAAAAAACCAGTTATCATCTGGACATCCCTGTGCAGTACATCTCTTCCGATGTGCCTCCTCCCTGAGCCTCAAGAATATTCACACTCCACCCCCAGCACTGTGGAGAGGGGGGCCCCAAACCAGGCTTGGACATCCTTGCCTTGGGCCTCCACGAACGGGGCAGAGAGGCACTGTCCCTGAGAAGGAAGCTCCCCCTCCCCACTCCTTGCCGGGTCAGATTTCCGAACTCCTCACACGAGCCCCATCTTTGACGCAGTGGACCAGCCCCTGGACCACAGCAGCCTTCGGCAGCTCGTGCTCAGCAACTACAGTGCGAAGGAGTTTCGAAGCAGGGACTCCCACTCAGAGAGCATACCAGACAAAGGGGACGACCTGAGGCCCAAGAAGAAGTTAGCGGGCTGAGGTAGACGGGGCTACCTTTGTACCAGAGGTAATAAATGTTCTGTTCTTTAACCCCAGTGTCTCCTCACACTCATTACTAAGAGACTAGATTAGGGTTCTGGGAGCCACTATGGGACACGGCAGAGGAGTAGGAAGTCACCATGGCTCCCGTGAGCCCCCTGAGGTGGTGCTCCGTTACCTGAAATTAGAGATTAACCTCTTACAGCTAACTGATGTGATTCTTTACCAAATGATCCATATTCTTAGCATGAATGTGAGGCCTCTTCCTCTTACTTCATCATGGGGCCTAGCTGAGCACATCTACGGGAGAAACGTTCCAATGGCATCCTGAAGGGAAGGACGTCACGGAATCTAAGCGCTACAGGTGCTTGAGCTTTCTGGAAGAAAGGGCTGTGGTCCTCTGGTTACCATTACAATAAATTGTGGCCCTTGATAGAAATGGTCCTGAGTGGCTGGGAAGGTCTATTTCAAATAAAGAGTCACTAGGATTCAATAATAATGACAGCAGGGACATCACTCGCTCATACTCTGCCTTCATGGGAACGAGCAAAGGACGTTCCTCACTCAAGGCACTTCTGTCAGAGAAACACCAGGAACAAATACACAGCCTCCTGTTTATTCGCACACAGCTTCTGGATGGATTTCCATCTGCAGGATGTGTGGCCATGGAGCATCTTGAACCACTGAGGTTGCAAAGAAGACGGAAGTGGATAATGAGGCAGCCACGCAGCTAACAGGCCAGGATCAGGGATGGCGGCAGTACTGGGCAGAGTGAGAGGAGGGCAGGGACCACCTCCCCGCCAAAGACAAGCCCAGGCTTGGGTGATGGGCCCCTCTCAGTCCTTCTCTTCTCCGTGGGTGATGATGTGCACCAGGTTCTTATAGTCCAAATTGCCAGTCACATCAGGGGGGAAGGCTGCGAACATCTGCTCGATCTGCAAAGAACCAGCAACACGTGTTGATCGGGGCAGGAGTGCAAGTGAGAGGGGCAGCTGTGTGGGGGGGCGGGTCCCCGAGCAGAGGCAGTAGGGGTGTGGTGGACTCGGGGACACGACACTCAGGTCCCCCTCCAGGAAGGCCTTGTGGCTTAGCTGCTGTGGAGGGCTGCCAGCCCCAAGGTCATGGTCTACCTGGGGTAGCCCGCAGCCCGCTGATCATTGTGAGGCCCAGTGTGGGACCCCGAGCTCCAGGGCTCCCCGCGGGGCCGGGGGTGGGGAGCCAGGACACTCGTAGGGCCTGACTTGAGGTTTGACCTCTCCCTCCGTGCCTCCTGCTTCCTTGCCCTTCCTTACTCTTCTGCAGAGGCTGACCCCAAGGGCCATCCCGTAGGGATGTTCCTGGGAATCCAGCCTGCAATGGGTAAAGCAGGGGTCGCAGACTCGGGGGTTGTAAAGGGGGAAGGCAGGCTATGCCGGGGAGCAAGGGGGGCTGGTGGGGGCTGTGGGTAAACCCAGACACAACCTACCTCCAGAGGTGTCCGCAGCTCAGGGCCGGCCGGATGAGGCCGTGTGGACAAGGAGGGCCAACCCTTTGAGGGAATCTGAGTCTTTGAGGGAAACTAGGAATCTAGATTTTTAACATGCAGCTTCCACATTTAGAAAGCATCGGCTAGTTATTTTTAAAAACACATATTGGCTAATAAAAGCTAACGCTTTGTATTGTGCTTATTGCACGCTTTAGCACCTCACGTATATCAACTTGTTTAATCTTCACAGCCTGCTACAAGGATGAGGTAGCTTTACAGAGGAGCAGCTTTACAGGTGAGGAAAGTGAGGCACAGTGAGGTCCAAGAGCTCGTCCAAATTCACCAGGCTGGTGGGGGGTGAAGGCAGGCTCTTTGAACCGCTTGAGTTTTGGTGGGGGCAGCAGCGGGAGAATCTACATAAAATTTGTAGTGAAATGTGGAACTGGTCGAAATTGGGCCTGACCAGGGGCTGTTTTAAATAGATTCAGGTTCATTAAAAACTCGACAGGATCATGGCTTACTGGTGCCCCTTCTTCAGGCACATTACTGCCACCTGCCAGAAGAAGTCATATACACTCTTGGTTTTAAAAAAAAAAAAAAAAAAAAAGAATTGTATCCGGACACTTTACTGCCACCTGCTGGAAGACTGTTGCAACAAGCACGTACAGCATCCAGGAGAACTGTGCAGTGCAGAACCTTCATGACAGTATGGGGGACCCTGCAAACCACCCTCATCCATCGGGGAACTGGTGCTCCAACCAGGGGTAGACCTGGGTTGGAATCCAGTCCCCAGCGTTTACCGTTAATATTGTCCTTTTAGGCATGTGACTAACTTCCCTGGGCTTCAGTTTCCCCATCTATAAAATGACAATAATACTAGTAGTTTCTGCCTCATAGGGTGATTGAATGAAATGAGATAGGGGCTCAGTGGAAGGTTCTCTCTCAGTGTGGAGCCGGGGGGTTTTAGGAAAGAGGGTGACACAGGAGCTGGGTGCAGTGTTGTGTCCAAGGGGCTGTTACCTCCTCCTTGGAAAATCTCTCTGCCTGCGTGGTCAGCATCTCACGAACGCTGCCGAAAGAGAACAGCAGGTGTTGGCGCCAGGTGTGTGTAAGGCAGGCAGGGAACCCCCACGTCTTCCCCCCACAGATCCTACTTACTAATCGGCCCTGAGCACCCCTTTGCCTTCAGGGTCAAACACTTTGAATGCGTTGAGAATGGTCTCCTCAGGGTCTGCCCCTGAAACAGAAAGCAGGGTTGAATCATGCCGAGGGTGGTCAGGACCCCGCGGTACCCCAGGAGGCAGGGCCCCTCAAAGATGGAGGGGCCAGAGCAAGGCTGTTTTGCTCAGAGGAAAGGCCCTGCCTTCCTTTGAGCACTGAACCTTGGTAATTGGAAAGAGTGGGCTGAGAATCCAGTCATTTCTGAGCAAACCCAGGGTCAAAAGGGGATCTAGATTCAGAAAGACTGGGATTCGAATCCCGACCCCAGCATTTGCTAGCTGTGTGGCCACAAGCAAGTGGCTTTCCATCTCTGAGCCTTAGATGGGAGATAAGAATAGAAACTACCTCCTAGATGCCAAATGAGGTCATGGATCCAAAGTGTGTAGCCTGGGGTCTGGTTCAGGCGAAGCCTCGGAGCGATATTAGCTACTGCTTCGCCCCACCCTCCACCCCCACTGTTACTCTGCTTTCACCTTCTGCCAATGCCCCCATGAAGCCTCCTAGTGCTTTAATTCACACCCAAAGAGGAAGACACATAAAGATACACACACACAGGTGCATAAATGCAGATGCACATACACAGATTCGCACAGACAGATACACACTTGAGCTTACCCTTAAGCTTCTCCCCAAACATTGTTAGGAACACAGTAAAGTTAATTGGACCTGGAGCTTCCTTGAGCATTTCATCAATTTCCTCATTTTTCACGTTTACACGCCCTAGGGCAGGAGATAGGTACACATTCAGGGCCCCCGCGCTGGGGCAGAAACAGCTGTTAGGACCCTGGCATTTGCCTTCCTAATGCCACTTCACAGAATCTAGTCTAGGACAAACAGAGATGGAGTGGGCGGGACCCAGAATCCCCATGAGAAGATGTTCTCAACAGTGTTATTTATAATAGCCTGGGGTGCCTGGGTGGCTCAGTTGGTTAAGTGTCCGACTTTGGCTCAGGTCATGATCTCACAGTCTGTGAGTTCGAGCCCTGTGTCAGGCTCTGTGCTGACAGCTGGGAGCCTGGTACCTGCTTCGGATTCTGTGTATCTCTCTCTCTGTGCCCCTCCCCTGCTCGTGCTCTGTCTCTGTCTCAAAAATAAGTAAACATTTAAAAAATTATAATAGACAGCTGGACACAGCCCAAGTATCTAACGTGGGGAGGGGTTAGCTATTTTTATAGTAGTGTCTTCATAACCTGGAACATTTTAAACAGATATTTTAACTTTTTACTGATATGGGAAATGCTCCTATTACAAATGATCCCTTCTCAGTTGGAGGTGGGAGAGGCAGATCAGAATCACCTTAAGGGAACTTTTTCAGATTACCTCTGCTGCAACCCACATGGCCTTGGAGATTCTCATAGATCCTGTGCTAGCCTCTGCCACAAGCCCATATAGCACCTTTGTGCAAATGTTTAAAAGTCACCCCTTCTTAAGGTAATTTATGTTTTAAATATAAAAATCTACAGTGGCCACAAATGTGAAGAGTAATTTGTAGAACTGTGTAGTGCACAACCCGTTCAGCTGTTCATGGTGGCCCTGAGTTCTGGGAGTAAGAGCGGAGGGGGGTGGGTGGTGGCAGGGTGCACATATATATTTTGAAAAAGCTCCATACACTATTGCTCACACTACTGAGATGTTAAATTTAAAAAGCTGGATCCAAAATAGAATGATTCTAATCTCAAAACAACAGCAACAACAAAAACTCCACAAAAAACCCAAAGGTACTTAGAAAAGACTGAGAGGCTGAAATGTTACAGTGGAATGTGACCTAATGGTTAACGTTTCCTCCTTTATACTTTTCTGAATTTCCCAAATTTTCTATTCTGAGCTGGCATTGCATTCAAAATCACAGAAAAAAAGTTAGTTTGAAAGAAACGAAAGCTATGTGGAGACACTCAAAGCCTAAATAGTTCTTTGCTTATCCTCTGAAGTATGTCTTAAAGGCCAACCATGATTGAGCCATTTCTTTGAAAAATGACAAGCTCTTGACCTTTTCAGTGGCTCACTTTCCACCCCTCAGGAGGGTGGGATAAGGAGACCGTCCTGCAGGCCTGGGGGATGGGGGACATACCAAGAGCCGCAAAGGTGTCCCTCAAATCATTCTTGTCGATGAAGCCATCCCTGTTCTGGTCCATGATGGTGAAGGCCTGTGGAAGGGGGCAGTTGGCCAGTCAGCCCAGGAGAAGTCAGGCAGGGGAGCCCAAGAGATCAGGCTGCGGACTGGGGGAAATGGGATTCTGGGATTCGGGGAGCATTGAAGGACATTAGGTCAAGGGTCAGAGACTGGAAACTGGCCGTTCATCAAAATGTTAGGCATAGCGTTACCATGTGATCCAGTAGTTGCCCCAAGAGAACTGAACACATCTGTCCATGTGGAAACCTGTGCCTGAATGTCCATAGCAGCATTATTTACCATGGCCCAAACCTGGAAACAGCCCACATGTCCATCGACGGGTGGATGGATACACAGAATGTGGTCTAGCCATGCGATGGGTTACTGCTCAGCAATGAAAGGAAGGAGATCCTGACACATGATGCTGAACGAAAAAAGTCAGGGCAAAAAGCCATACGGTGTGTTTTTACAAAATTCCTAGAACGGGCAAATCTGTAGGAATTGAAAATAGATCAGCGCTGGCCAGAGGCTGGGGGCAGAAGGGAACGGGTAGTGACTGCTAATGAGTGTGAGGTTTGTTTATGGGGTGATAGAAATGTTTGGAAGTTAGTGGTGATGGCTGCAGAGCTCTGCAACTATAGCAAAACACCACCGAATTGTACACGTAGTTTTAAAAAGGTGAATGTGAGGGGTGCCTGGGTGGCTCAGTCGGTTAAGCCTCCAACATCGGCTCAGGTCATGATCTCACGGTTGGTGGGTTCACGCCCCACATCGGGCTCTGTGCTGACAGCTCAGAACCTGGAGCCTGTTTCAGATTCTGTGTCTCCCTCTCTCTCTGACCCTCCTCTGCTCACGCTGTCTCTCTCTCTGAAATAAATAAAACATTAAAAAAAAAAAAAGGTGAATGTGAGGTGTGTGAATTATATTTCTATGAAGTTGTTACTTAAAAAATCAAGTTGGGGGCACCTGGGTGTCTTAGTCTGTTAAGCATTTAGCTCTTGATTTCCACTCAGGGCAAGATCTCACGGTTCTTGAGTTCAAGCCCTGCATCCAGCTCTGTGCTAACAGTGCAGAGCCTGCTTGGGATTCTCCCTCCCTCGCTCTCTGCCCCTCCCCTGTGCATACACGGACTCTCTCAAATAAATATAAATCAAGTTAAAAAAAATAAAATAAAAAAAAATCAAGTTAATACCTGGGGTCTCAGCAGCAGCCTCCCCCCACCCCTCACCAAAGCCCGGTTATCTGTAAAACGGGGCCAGCGATCTTTCCCAGGTGCCTCCCAGGGGGACACCAAGAGCTTTGTAAATGCCCAGGTATTTTACAAATGACTTATCATCTCCCTGTTTTTTGAGTTCTTTGCAGCTGGTTCCTGAAAGTATTTGCACCCGGCTCCCCATGCCCTCCCAGCAGCTGATCTCATTCCAGAGACTGGGACGGGGGGGGGGAGTAGGGGCGGTGGAGTCTTCTCCCTGGAAGGTGACAATTTCAAGTTCAGATATAACATTTCATGGTGGGAGTTCTTTCCCAGAAGGCCTAGAGGACATGGCATTCCTGCGATCTGAACACTAGTGAGGGCAAAAAGCATTAGGGTTTGCATCCCATTTGGAAGTCCCAAACGGTTTCCCCTTTGATAGAGGACACACCGGCCTCTTTGGCATCTTTTCATCTGGAGGCGCAGGTGGGAGTGTGGCTGACTCAGTGTGAGCCAGAGGGACTGCTGGAAAATTCATTCAGAGTCTCTCCTTCTAAGCCTGCGGGCAGTGGCTTAATTTGCCCTAATTGGTACTTAGGTTTATTTAATAAGGCGCACTCCCATTGAATGTGACAGGTTTCAACCTTGGTCGTGTTCCACAATGGACAGCCGTATAATTTAAAATCTAAGAGATACTCGTTTTCATCTCTCAGTTTGGCAGAAGTAATATTTTTAGGCTCTTAATATTCACTGTTGACGGAGATGTAGGGGCAAAAGACACTCTTTCCTTTTGGAGCTGATGGGAGTAGGTATTAGTACATTTCTGGGGGGCAAGTGCTTCTAGTTGTTTTTAGTTCATTTTTTAAAGTCCTGTGACCCAACACTTCTGCTTTTAGGAATTTACCCCAAGGAAACAAGCAAAGATGTGTTATAATCATAGAGCATTCTAAGCAAAGGAACATCCAGCCATGGGAAGTGGTTTCAATAAATTGATAGAAAATGTTGATGCGGAATTGCTCAAAGAAAAATAGCAAAATAGTTTAAAAATAGTTTAAAGGTATATACACATAATACAAAATGACTTGAAGGATATTAAAATGTTAATGGATTATCTCCGGGTCATAAAATTATAAGTCATTTTTATGTTGTTCTTTGTGCTTTTCTGAAAATTTCCCCCAACACTTTTAACAAGAAATACGCTTTACTTTGTGATTGGCAAAAATTATTTAAAATAATTTCTTGAAATGGTTCGTGCACATGTTGAGACTGAATTTGGGGTTGTTTGGAGGATATAAACCTCTAACCACCAGGTCCCTGCAGGAACGGGAAACGTTCTCTCTGACAGGTGGGAATCTCCATCCGGGTGGATGATTCAACAGCTGCACCCACCTCCTTAAATTCCTGGATCTGGGTCTGTTCAAACATAGAGAACACGTTGGAATTGGCTCCGTCTGCTCTCTTCTTGGCTTTCTTAGGTGCCTGCATGAGGGGGGGGGGGGCGGGGGAGAGGGACGTCAATTAAAAGAGTCAGAAGCTGGGAGCAGTGTCCCTTCTCTGGGTGAGTCTCAGCCACTCATCTGTGAAATGGGGGTATGATGCCCACTTTCATCTCCAAATGGTGATACTGGAGGGATAAGAGAACCCAGAATCCACCCTCTGGTAGATTGTCAGAGACAGTGGGTTTGCAGCACCACCTTTGCAAACGAGGGGAGGTGAAGATGCGTCTCTGGGGACGGAGGTACCATTTCAGATCAGCCCTGGTGGGATCCAGCTGCATTTCACAAAAAGTTCAGTAATGCACAGAAGGAGAATTGATTGCTCAGGGAAAACGTCAGGCTCACTAAACCATGAGGAATGTGAGATGAAATGACACTTTTTCAGGGTGTTAAAACCCACTGCTCCCCCTCCCCAGTTCTCCTTTGATCCAAATGGCAGTGAAATATCTTTTCTAAATGTTCTGTCCTTGCGCGCACACACAGTGCAGAGAAGGGCAAGTTAACATTTGTCTCCACCCCGCTTCTCTCTGACTTGAAATAGTTAGAGCAATGCTCGAACGCTATACATACATGATTTCATGTAATCCTCCTGTCAAGTACAGACTATGATTACTGTAGCTATTTAACCAGGAAGTCAACTGGAGCTCAGAGAGGTTTTGTTACTTGCCCAAGGTCACACAGGCACACGGAGGCAGGACCGGAGTTGCACTTGGGCAGTCTGACTCCAGAGTCTGGGCCCCTAACCATCCTCCTACACTGGCCCTGATGTGGGGGCTTCCTGCTTCCGGAGGGGGACACCTAACCAAACAGCATGGCGGGGAGGGGGTGGGGGGAAGAAAGGTTTTAAATTTGCAAGTTCAAAAGGTGAAAACAAAAAGATTCTTTTCCCCAGCTGCCTGAACAAGAGAAAAGAATTACAATTTGATCCTTAAAAGCGTTCAATCCCATTTTGCAAGCCCTGGGAGTTATTGATTCCACGAGAGGTCAGCAGGCAAGCCATAAAAAAGCCAACTCTCTTATTCTGTTTTTGTGAGTCCCTGGGAGCTGCTGTTATTTGTGGCTTATCGGGGCATTGATTGGGGTTCCTCTGTGCGCACACAGCAAGTACTGCTTTTTCCACCAGGGGCTGGGGCCCTCAAAAGCCACCTTTCTGCCCCTCCCCTCTGGTCCTCTGCTTGTAGGTGGTGTTCCCCCTCTCCCCCCCCCCCACACACACAGGGTCACACCTCAAGGAGCCCTCGCTACTCACCATGGCGGAAAGGACACAGCACTGTTCACCAGGAAGAATCCTACAGGCTGCCCAGCTCTCCTCCGCCCGGGAACAATAAATACTTCCTCCCCACGTTTAAAAATAACCCCATGACCACTTTTGGCAGTAATAGGTGAGGCGGACACCACCTAAGGCCCCCCCATCCCATGCCGTTCTTCTGAAGTAAGGGGAGCTCACTCGGTGACACATGAGACCCAAAAAGGCATTCAAGGTTAAAGAGACAGGCGGCTGGGTCACAGGGTGAGATGCTGCACGCTTTCGGCAGCACTTAGGCGGGAGACACTTGTGCTTGTCAATTTTGAGAAAGAAAACGGCAGAGGGAGAGGAGACCATTAGAATTCTGTAACAGGATCAGGGTCCCACCCCAGGGCCTTTGCACCTGCACTTCCTTCTGTCTGGGGAATTTTTCCATCAGACATCTGCGAGGCTCCCTCCCTCCCTGCCCTCAGATCTTTGCTCAAATATCACCTTCTCTGTGAGACCTCCCCACCATCCTGTCTAAAATAGCCACTCACTCTCTGCCCTCCAGAACCCCTTCTCTGCTTTGTTTTTTTGCATCGCGCTTACCACTTCCTGACGTACAGTGTAATTCATGTATTTATTTTGTTTGGTGTCAGTGAACAGTCAGCTCAGGAGAGCAGGGTCCTTTTTGGTTTTCCTCACCATTCTCCCCTTAGCTCGAGACTGGTGCACAGCCGCTGCTCAATGCATACTGTTGATTGAAGAAATAACAACTTTCACTTACCGAGCGCTTGCTATGTGCCAAGCCCCATGTATGCATGTCTCATGCTCATATTTAACTTTCCAGACACCCTGTGGGGTAGGGACTACCCCAGCAAGCTTGCGTCCCCAGCAGGCTTCCCCTTTATGGACCCCCACTGCATGCCAGGCGCTATGCTAGTGGCAGGGGAGACCGTTACCAAGTGACAGCCTTGCTGCTGTCATGACACTCTGTGTAAGGAGGATGGACAAAAATAAAGGAATGCATAACCCAGATAATTTCAGGGGGTAACAAATCTTACATAGGCTTGGAAGTGATGGGGGGCTGCCTCCTGTGGGTTCAAGGGTCCACTCTGAGCAGAGACTGGGGGAGAGTGCCCTTAGCAACAGGGACAGGAAAAACCTCAAAGGAGGGGCAGAAGGACCTGTGTGGCCAAACCTGGGTGGGTGAGGGGGTCAGGGGCACAAAGTGAAGCCGGCAAGGCAGGCGGAACAGATCACAGCCTCGGGATTTCATTCCAGAAGCAAGGGGAGCAGTGGGAGACCCTTTGTCTAAGGAGTCCCCGAAGCCACCAGTGCCCAAGGACATCCTGATGTGCGACCAAAGCCAGCAAGCACCACCTGGGAAGGAGATCCAATCAGGAAAACCAATCCACAAATATGTTCTCGGTTGCTCAGATGTGCTGGAACCTTCCATGGATTTTGCTGGAGAAAACTGGCAAGATCCTTGGCCCCCAGGCATGAACAAACTAATAAAGAGTAAGGCCGACTTTGCCCTGCTGGCCTGAGTGAGGCTTGTTTGAATGTCTCCACTTGACCCGAGAAGGTTTGAGGCCGGAGAGTGGAGTGATTTAGCCCTCAGGCTGGGAAGTCCGATAAAATTGCATTTGAACCTGAGCCCTGGGTGACCTTGGGCAAGTGACTTCACCTCTCTTAGCACATAAAGTGGGAATGATAAAAAGACCTTCCTTATGAGGCCTTCTGCAGGGTGAAAGGAGGTGAGACTGAGGCAGCATCACTCACCTCCCCTCTCAGGGAAAACAAATTCAATTTTGGGGGTACAAACCCAAGAACCTCTTTCCAGTTACGCGTGGGTTAGAATTACCCAGGAGCATCTTCCAACAGGATCTTTAATAACAAAAGGAGTGTTTTTTCTGTGTGTGCACAGGCGTGTATACACACGCACCAGAATGGACACACGCGTCCACGTACAGACAAAACATATGCATGCATTCATGCACATACACAGAGCTCATAATTAGACACGCACACTCATGCACATACCGGCTCACACACCATGCACACTCACACACACATGCACGTGCACACACGTCAGTCTAGAAGAGCTTTTCTGTCCAAGATTCTCTGACAACACTGAAATAAATGTTTCCCTAGCTAATAGGTACACCATGGATTTTCGTTAAAACACTTGTGTGAGCAGTCAGTAGCTGTAAATGGCCAAGCAAAACGGTTGTTGCAGCCAGAGTGGATACGCTGAATGGATGGGGGAGGGGCGGGGAGCCCCAGGTTCAGGGGTTAGGATGGGCTCAGGCGTCCCAAGGACAGGTGGGTGTATTAGGGTGGCTCTGAGGACATGTTTTATTCAACTGGGTTTTTCCAAGGGAGCACTGGGAGAGAGTTCTGGTTTAGTAGCTAGAGGTGTAGGATCTTTTTTTTAATTTTAATATTTTTATTTCTAGGAGAGAGAAAGAGAGAGACAGCGTGAGCAGGGGAGGGTCAGAGAGAGAGGGAGTCACAGACTCTGAAACAGGCTCCAGGCTCAGAGCTGGCAGTCAGCACAGAGCCCGAAGCGAGGCTCAAACCCACAAACAGCGAGATCATGACCTAAGCGAAAGTCGGACGCTTAACCGACTAAGCCACCCAGGCGCCCCTAGAGGTGTAGGATCTTAAACAGAGCAGTAAACCTCCTGGGGCCTCAGTTTCCTCGTCTGGAAAATGGAGACCATAATAGCGCATACCCCCATAGGACTCTTTGGAGGAGTGAGTGAGATTCAGTGTGTCAGAATCAGAGGGATTCCGGGAACATAGCGGCCTGAATAGCATGGACCCCCATGGCTGCCCGACTTAGGGACTACAGGATGTGTGTCGGGCCTTGGGCTCTGCTGAGAGAACTGGAGGCCCAGAGACACCCCACTTGCCAATGGGCTGCATTTTGGTCTATGTGGACTTTGAGGGGTATATTTCAGCACCAACCTCAAGAGGGCATTGGAGAGAAGAAGCTGAGTAGGTGGGCTGGAGCCTCTCCGTCCTCAAGGCTGGGGTGGCTAAGACATCTTGCCCCTGAGTCATAGGCTCACAGGGCCCAAGCCCCCCATACCTTGCTACTACTTGTGGGATTCCTACAGCTGAGAAGCTTCCAGCAACCAGACAAGTCTCATGGGGCCAAAGAGAAAAACAGCTGCCTACCTGCGGTACTCAGAAGTCAAAGGGAAGGATGCTGGGCAGCCAGTCACACGGGCAACTTCTAAAACAATTAGAAAACAAACGTAGTGTGTTCTCTTCCGATCGCTACTGTCCAGACATTACCGTAAAGATGGTGGCTTGAAAGAGCAGCAGTTCACTATTTCACGCATGGTTCTTGGGATCAGAAATGGAACCTGGGCTGGGCTGGCACGGCTCTGCCCCTTCTGGAGGCCACAGTGGAGAACGCTTGCCTTGCCTTTTCCAGTGTCTGCCCACATTCCTTGGCTCCTTTGGTGGCCGCATCGCTCCAGTCTCCAGCTCCAAACTCTCTGTCTCTGCTGCCTCACTTCCATCTTCTAAGGACCCTTTGTGACTATCATGGGTCCACCCGGATAATCTGGGACACTTCCGCCATTGCCAGATCCGTCACCTCACCTGCAAAGTCCATTTTGCTACGTACGCTAACGTAGTCACAGGTTCTGAGGATTAGGACGTGGATATCTTTGGGGAACTTTAATGCTGCCTACCTACCACACCTAGAGAAACAGAACCATTGCAGAAAACAGATCAACAGCTGAGTAATATTAATTACAACAATAAAACTTAAGTCAAGATTCATGGAACCACACACTAGAAAAAGGTCAATTTTATTGAATGGTAATTGAAAAAAATTACCCATTGATAATTTTAAAAGAAGAGGTGAAGAGAGAGGAAAAAATGTAAGTAGTGCTTATAGATGTTCACTGTTTTTAAGCAAGAATGATTTTGATCCCCAACTCAAAGGATATTGATTACTTAAATATTTATTGGAGCCTTACTATTTCCCTGCTCTCAGGGTCTGATGGACATCGGTGAAGTTTCACTCAGATAAAGGGAAGGCGCACATATAATAAGTTTAAGTTTGAGGAAAGGAGGGTATTTATGTTCCACTGTAATATGGCACAATAATCTTCTATTTGGAAAACGTAGCAGTGTATTAATTTGATTATTATTTTTTAAAACCAAGTATTTGGTTTACTCCATAAAGTTAAAGCAAAAGAAAACACCTAGAGAAATTCAAGTGAAACTCTAAAATGACTTCTTGGGGGGGGGGGGGCGTCCTGGGTGGCTCAGTCCATTAAGCCTCCAACTTCAGCTCAAGTCATGATCTTGAAGTTAGTGAGTTTGAGCCCTGTGTCAGGCTCTGTGCTGATAGCTCAGTCTGGAGCCTGCTTCGGATTCTAGGCCTCCCTCTTTTCCTGCCCCTCCTCCACTTGCGCTCTGTCTCTCTCTCTCTCTCTCTCAAAAAGAAACATTTAAAAATTTTTTTAAAAAGTTTCCTTTCTATCATTGCAGCCAAATCCTCCCACAAGGGAATGTGCTTGTGTGTTTGGTATAAAGTCTTCCAGACTTTTTGTTTTGTTTAATAATTTTTATTTTGTTTTAATTCCAGTGTGGTTAACATAATTATATTAGTTTCTGGTGTACAATATAGCGATTCAACAATTCCATATATTACTCGGTGCTCATCAATACAATTGTGCTCTGGATCCCCTTCACCCACTCCACCCATCCCCCCACTCTCCTTCCCTCTGGTAAAACCATCTATTTGTTCTCTGTAGTTAAGAGTCTGTATTTTGCTTTGTCTCTTCCCCACCCCCCCTTTGTCCATTTATTCTGTTTCTTAAATTCCACATGTGAGTGAAATCATATGATAGCTGTCTTTCTCTGACTGGCTTATTTCGCTTAGCATTATACTCTCTAGACCCATCTGTGTTGTTGCAAATGGCAAGATTTCAGTCTTTTTTATGGCTGTATAATATTCCATTGTGTCTGTGTCTATAAACACACACACATATATCACATCTTCTTTATCCATTCATCTATCGATGGACACTTAGGCTGCTTCCATAATTTAGCTATTGTAAATAATGCTGCTATCAACACTTCAAACTAATGTTTTTGTATTCTTTGGGTAAATACTCAGTAGTGCGATTGATTACTGGATCATAGGGTAGTTCTATTTTTAATTTTTTGAGGAACCTCCATACTGTTTTTCGCAGTGGCCGCACCAGTGTGCATTCCCACCAACAGTGTGTGAGGGTTCCTTTTTCTCCACATCCTCGCCAACGCTTGTGATGTCTTCCAGTCTATAGTTTTAATTGTTTGCTTTCTAAACTTGAGACGCACCTGTAGTGAAGTGCATGTCTCTTATGTACCCAGGGCAATGTGTCTTTGTGTGTGTCCACGCTGTGTCACCACCCAACGCAGGACAGGACATTCCAACTCCTAAAGCTTTCCCTAATGCCAGTCAGCATCCCCTCAAAGTAACCTTT